CTTATAAATGTGGACATCCACGACAAACATTTATAAATTAAACTAATAATAATATCATTCCCACAGTGTGATCCATCCATATAGCCCATAGAAAGAAACTAAAAGATATCTAAAAGATTATTACAAGACCGAACCATGATATGGTTTAAGTATCATTATGGACCTAGGCAATATAGTTTGGTAGTGTGCAGATAAATGTGTATATAAGGGTGCTACTTCCCGCCCATGCATGTCGGTCTCAATATATACCTAAAAACCAAATAAACACAAGAGTGAGTACGGAAATACTCAGCAAGTACAATATGGAACTAGAAAACACATATACACAACATTGGCAATAAAGCATGAACAGAAGGCTTTCTTTCTTTGATAAGAAACACATTTTCAAACACCAAGTCAAAGAAGATAGTAGTTCCCATCCCGGGCAGGCATGAATTGAAATACTAGTTTCCATCCCGGACAATAGTGAATACATCCTAGCATTTGCCGGCAAAGCCGAGTAAGCGTGATCAGCGCTTACCCATAGGAACTTGAATAAAGAACCAAATTGCACTCCCATGACTACGCATGGGACTTGAATAATTGAAACCGGAATCAAAGAATCAAATTGAAACCATATTGCACATCCATGGCAACCAGGGAACTTGAATTATTTAAGCAGAACCAGAATCCGGAATATTGAAACAAGAATAACGTCGTAAACATAGGATAAACATGAAAACCTAAATGGCGCGAACAACAATATGAATATAAGCGGTCACATGTCACATAGAAATATATCGGAAATAAATAGATAGAGCAAACAATCCATGAATCACACAATTAGTTCGTCATGCACTTGCCTCCAATGAAGGGTTGATATCATGCACGATCTGATGGACCACCACCTAATCACAAACAAAACCTCAGCAAACACATTCAAACATGCATATAAAACAATGAAAAAGGTAAACCTACTGCCCCATCCTATCACAACGCAATAACAAGGAACGCCGCTTGGACTATAAACAAGACTGCTGCTTCAAACCTTTATATCTTGAAATATGAAAAGGCTATGACCACAAATAAATACATTTTGGAATTCTACAAAACAAGGCCTACAACTCTTACGTGGAAATCATATTTGTATTCTGCCATTTAAATGGTCTAATTTGCGCTTGAAAGCAGGCTTCAGAATCTGTCCAGAATTTCAGACTGTCCACACTAAAACAACCATAACTAGAATTCTACTCACCCAATCAGGGTGTACTTTACCAATATGGAAAGCTAAGAAAAACCTCTACAACTTTGTCTATAGGCGGCCTAGCTGTTTCCACTGTTTAACCCGGCCAAAAACAGTTCAATCTATTACTATCCAGATTATGACATAAAAACAACAGTCATAGTAAAAAATTTATATCTCCTAAACCACTTGAGATAAAATCACGCCCTTTGGTCAGAAGATAGAATCAAACATTATCTACAACTTCCTAGTTATACACTTTTGCAGAAAATAACATTTAGAGCCCCGAAATATTGAAAACCTGAAGCACTGCAAATCTGCCCACATGCAGAACTGCAACAGACCGAACCGCAACTACCCAAACTCCTTCTCTAGCCTTCCCTAACCACGAATTAAAGCACTAAAGCCATGCTAGAACAACTAATACAACAAGGGAATAAGCCTCACCTAGGGTTTCTTTAGAGAACTTGTGAGGAGACAATAGGGGAGACTCCGGTCTAACCCCTCCTTCTACTCCTCTCGTCCTCCTTTGTCCGTTTTTCTACTTCGCTTCTTGATCCAAGCTATGAAGGTGGAGATCTAGAGAGAGAAATTTGCTGTAGAGAGGAGAGATGCGAACACAGGAGAAGGGGAGGAAGGAGGCGCCGGCCATGGAGAGGGGTGGCGGCACCATGAGGGGAGGTGGGATTCGGTTTCCCTCTCTCTAGGTTTTAGGGGAGAACTAATGGGCTGGGTTTATGGGCCTTCTCATGTTGGCCCACTTCTAAAGATATTTTCTTTTATTTATTTCTGTTAACATCTTTATTTTAAACAAGTCAATCCAAACTAAAAAACCTAAGTATCTTTTAATATACAGGGTATTACAACCTCAAGAACGTTTACTTACTTCTCGCCGATCGTCACCAACCTCTGCCTTCGCTGAGGCAGAGGAGACGCGTTCAAGTCCTGAGCAAGATGAAATGGGGTGAGGTCAAGTCTTTCCGACTACGCGCTAAAGAACGAGAGAAACTTACCGCGGAGTTCGTCGCTTTCCAGCGGGTCCCGAGTACGGAGGAGAATTTCCTTCCCCTCTTTGGAACATTGCTGCCACTCGTGGTGGTAGCAGCAGCGTCGGATGCCTCCTTGGCGACGCTCTCCTTCAACAACGCAGCCGCCTGGTGGTCCACAAGTGGCCCGATGAAATCCGTCAGTGGGAGAGCCTGCACAACGTGAAGTCACGACGCGATCTCGAGAAGAAAGATGTAAAGGAATCATCGAGTACACTCACATTAATCGCAGCGGTGCGTTCGGCCAGGTCCTTATCGCAGAGGGGGACGGGGATGTCGCCCACCGCTGAGGGGGCGCTGATCATCGCCTGACTGACGCGGCGCCCTACGGTGTCACTATCCAGGCCTGTAAATCGAGAACAAGAACTCGATAAGTCAGGAGAAACAGATGCACTCGGAACCAAATTAGAAATGCGAGAAAAAAATACCCCGAGGAGAGACCCGGGTCGTGTCCTCTGGCCCAGAGTAATCAAAGGCCAAATGGGCGCGGGCCTGCAGCGGTTGAATCCGCCTACCTACGAAGTCGGCAGTGACTTCGTATCCCGATAACCCCTATTTCCGGAGATCATCAATGATGTCGATAAAAGATTGGAGGGAGGGAGTCAGGGCGGGTTTGGCGGTCCACTCTGGGATTTTTTCTGGCTGATCTTCAGGGACAACAAGGACGAGATCCGAATTCTCTATCTGAAGATAGAACCATCTCGCCCGCCACTTGCTACGAGAAGAAGGGCATTGGAAGGGGATGTAACGCGACTTCAGGCGATCCCGAAGTCAGAATCCAACGCATCCAGATACCCTGTTGGGTTCCATCCAACGCAGCTCATAGTAAAAGCGGAAGAGATAAAGGAAGGGCTCTACCCCAATGTAGGCCTCGCAAAGATGAGAGAAGATGCTAAGAAATGCGATAGAGTTGGGGTTCAAGTGAAGCAAAGAAAGCACATAGAAGTTCAAGACAGGAAGAAGAAACTCAGAAGGCGGAGGAAGAAAACCGCAAGAAATATAATCTTCGACTACAACCATGCGGCCCAAGATGGGTTCAGGTTCTATACCTCCTGCCTCCCTCTACATGGTCCCGCGACCAGGGAGGGCACTGTCATCTTGCAGTTTCTTCAAGGACGCGGTGGTTGAGGTAGACTTCTCAAGATCCATCGCCGCCGGAGGATCGCCGGAGAACAAGATGAAAGAAGCAAGTTAGGGTTTTCTTTGCGGAGAGCGGAGAAGACGAAGAGCGCTAGAAGGCAGGAGGGTTTTCTAGCAAACGGACTTCAAATGGATTCCTAAAATTCCTTTAAATAAGCGCACTACCGACGGTGCATATTCCAAGGAAAGGAGAGAGATTGCCGCCGGAAAATTCTGGGTCCGCTGCGCGCGGTAGTTTTCAGACTTCAATTTAAATTCACTCATGACCGTTGAACTTCATGCGGTGTTGTCGATGGCTCTTTTGTCTCTACGGTTTTTACATCGAGATCGATTAGATGAGAATGACAACAATTCCGACATCAGAAGTCGCGATCGGTTACACGAGTTCATTTAAGCAGAAATCGGGGGCTACTGTCAGGGTTACGGATAAGGTATACCCTCTATCCTTGGATGTACGATAGGTACCAATACGGTATACCCGCGTGTATACGGATAGTTTCCGTACACGTTAAGGAAATCTATCACGTGAGGGAAACATAATCTATGGATGGAAGGAGTCATACTTGGATAAGATTGGGTCTTTACCATACCGTGAGGGGTCCGATATCTCCGAGTCCTACTTCGAGATCAACTGGCCCGCGGTATATAAGGGACTCCCCGGGCAGGACCTAAGGCATCGAATATTACCGCCAACATATCCACCACAGCCTATGGAGCCGGAGCCTACAGGAGCCAAGTCGCCGGAAGATCTAGTCGGACCAACTCGACTACGGTCTCGTCGGTATCATCAAGTTCTGTTATTCCCTTTGTAATCTGTGGTTTCCATCATATAATCACATACCAATTGAATTAGGGCTATTACCTATCAAGGGGCCTGAACCAGTATAATCCTTGTTTTTTTTTGCTTGATGTCGTATTACGTAAATACTCGTTCCAACGGACCCCAATACCCTCTACATCCGGTCTACGGGTATCCCCGTCGACACAATCGGTAACTAGAAAAAGAGGTAAACTGATTTTTTTTCTTTTTTTAATTCTTTATTCTTTTCTTTCCTACTATAAATTTCAGTAAATAGACAGAATACATCAATTTTTTCAAAAATTTATATCCCGATAAGTTCTATGAATATCATACTATTTATAAGATTTTATTTGATTTCTTCCTTTTTTATCAATTCAAATTTGTATTTGGATGAAACTATCTCAGACGGCTTTTACTTTCGAGTCTCGTCGAAACCTTGAAATTTCGTGGAATTCGACCGGTTTTCCGGAATTGTAAACCCTCGAGTACTATTGGATTCTTTTTTTTTAAAGGGGGAATATTTGGTTCGGTGCCAGAATTAAACAACCTGAAATGCCATTGACAAACACCCTAATCCAAGAAATGCCATCGACGAACGCGACTTCCAGCAAATGCCATCGTACGAGCCATTTTGTCCCAAAAATGCCATCGCCGTCACTTTCACTCTGTTAGACACCGTTAATTTTGTCAAAATGACCAAATTACCCTCCTTAACAAAGGATAAATCCCCTTCTCTTCCATCCCATCGCCGGCCACTATTCCTCCCCTCCACTTCAATCGCCAGCTCCCGATGGGCGACAGCGGCAAGGCGACGCTCCCAGGCGGTGGCACGTCAGTTCCAGGCGTCGACGCGACGGGCGGCGAGGAGGTGGCAGGCGGTGGCGCGGGGCTCCCAGGCGGCGGCGCGGTGGTCCCAGGCGGCGCCTGCGGCAGCGGTCCCAGGCGTCGACGTGACGGGCGGCGAGGAGGTGGAAGGCAGCGGAGCGTCGGTCCCAGGCGGCGGCGCGTCGGCAGCAGGCATCTGCGCGGTGGTCCCAGGCGTTGACGTGACGGGCGGCGAGGAGGTGGCATGCGGCGGCGCGGTGGTCCCAGGCGGCGGCGCGTCAGCCGCAGGCACGGTGGTCCCAGGCGACGGCGCCTCGGCAGCAGGCATCCGCACGACGGTCCCAGGCATCGACTCATTGGGGGAGGTTGGCCGGTGATGGCGAAGCTGCTCTTCTTCTGCTGCCGCGCGGCCGCCGCCGTGCCGGGCCACTTTGCGAGCACGCGGTGGCCGTCGCCAGTGGCGGATCCACCTCCCGGGCAGGTCGGGCGGCCGCCCGTGCTCCGTCGATGTCGTCTTCACTACGAATAGCTGTCAACACCTATCAAAATTAGTCGATCACCGAAAAACGCTATTACTCGCCCGGGCTCAACGATGCCGCTAGCTCCGCCACTGGCCGTCGCCGGCGCAGTGTACGACGACATCGTGGGCGCGTACCGCGGGTTCATGCCGTCGCGGACGCGCGCGTTCCTCGTCATCCACCGTGGCCTGCTCGAGCCGCACGTCCGCTGCCCCTACTGCGGCGCCCGCGTCTGGAGCATGACCGCCGCGGGGCTCGCCCGCCTCTCCTCCTCTTCCTCCAGCGACGGCGAGCGAAGCGCCGACTCCGACTCCAACCACAGCGACGACGAGTCATTCGCCGCCGCTGACGTGAGCCTCCCACTTCCTCTGGCTAGCCGCGTGTCAGGCCGGCGCCTTCGAGGCAGGCCGGCCATGTGACGCATCAAGCATTAGCGGTAGTTTTTTTTTTTACCGGTGGATTGGGATAGTATTATTTGGAGTGAGGGCAATTTAGTCATTCTTGTAAAATGTTTTGTTCTAACGGTGTGGACTAACGGTGTGATGGCATTTCTGGGAGAAATAGGCTTGTACGATGGCATTTTCAGGAAGTTGCGTTTGTCAATGGCATTTTTAGGATCAAGGTGCTTGTCGATGGCATTTTATGGATTTTCTCTTAATATTTTGGTAAGTTTGGATTGACAATGAGCGGACAGACCATAGATATAGGGGGCTCTGGTTAAGACGAAATGAAAATGGAGAAAAATAAAAACAAAACGAGAATGAATAGCGAAGAGAGAGAAAGCCCAAGGGAAATGAAGAGGCAGCCAACTCCAAGTCCAAGAAACCCTCTCCGGCGTCCTTCTCCGGCTGTCCTCCGCCGCAGCCTCCATTGAAGCTGTGGGTATATATTCCGCGCCTCAGAGGTCAGTAGCCTCTGCGCTCCTCCGCCGCCCTTTTGGCTCGATTAATCGTCATCACCTAGCCGCAGCAGCAACAGCTTAGCTGGTTCTTGCCCGGAAATAATCTGTTTGCGTTTGCAATCGGGGGGGTCACCTGTTCTTGCTTCCGGTCGATTCCTCTTCGTCGCCGCTGCGGGTTGCGTAGGGAAGTCTTTGATCGTTTTTCACAAGCAGTTTAGGGATATGTACAGGGTTTATATTAGGGATATACAGTACAGGGGATGCCGTTTGTCTCTTTCACAGATTGCTCTCGTTCTGGATTCAAGATTGTGTATGTGAATGTCAATCAGATCGATTATTTGCAGATTTTATATGCTTGTGACCTATGAGATGCATGCATGATCTATGAGGGCTTAGTTCAGTTTGTTGCTATTTTCAAGCTTTCGGTAGTTTGGCAAGGCAACAAATTAAACATACTTTTTTTTGGTAATTCCCAAACTTTCTGCTCTAAAAGATTCCACCAAAATTTGGTAAGGTGCCAAACTGAGCACTACCCATCCTCACCTTACCTTACCAAACTTTAACATTACCAAAGTTTGTTTGTTTGTTTTTTTTTTTTTTTTTTTTTTTTTTGCAATGAAGTGAACAAGCCCTAAGTTCCATGCAATCGGGGCAAAAAGTGTAGGATAACAAATAGATGTTGTTTGTGTAGACCATGTACGTATTGCAAAGGACTAAGTGGAATTACCTATTTTGCATGTGGGTGCTTTTAATCCTTTTAATCCGTGACTACAGGAGTCGGAATAGATAAACTAGAGTAGTATGGAGAACAGTATAGAAAGAGAGAATGTTTGTTGCTTCCCATCATGTTGTAGCAAGACCTTGCTTTGTTTTCCCCAAAATAGTTCAATTTATTTTCCTGACTAACCTAAACTGATGAATGGTTTAACTCATGACTTGTGATACTTCCAGTGAAAATACATCAGGAATCAGAAGTAAGTGAACTCAAATGCCAAGGCAGTGAAGAACCAATGGATGCTTCAAGGGCAACTACGGAACAATTAATGGAGAGTGGAGAAGATGCAAAAACTGCCAAAGGTGCAAAATGGATGGCAAAGAAGAGGAAAAGGGCTGTTGAAAGCATAGCAGCATTTTGCTATGAAGCTGGGATTCCTTTTAATATTCTTTGCATAGAGAGTTTCCAGTTAATGTTAGATGAAATTGGAAAATTTGGCCCTGGCTTGCAGGGGCCCTCTATGGATGAGCTTCGAGAGAATTTATTGCAGGAGCATGTTTCAGCTATAACTGATAAAGTTCGATGGCTGAAGGATTCATTGGAGTTTGGGGGATGTTCTATTATTCTTGACACTTGGCTTGATGAAAATGGAAGGCGCCTTATGATGCTGGGAGCCCACTCTATTATTGGTTTGACTTTTATTCGATCCATCCATCTTTCATCAGAGGCTTATAATGATGCATATAAGTTTCGACTGCTTGACTCGTGTATTGATGAAATTGGTGAGAAAAATGTGGTGCAAGTTGTCTCAAACATTGAACCAAACAGCTTAATGGCAACAATGCTTACTGCAAAGAGACCTAGCATATTTTGGACGCAGTGTGCTGCACGTTGTATTGACTCGATGCTTGAAGACATTGAAAATATTACTTTTATCAAGAATATAATAGAGGATGCAAGGTTAATCACTGCTTTTATATATGGATGTGCACATTTGTTGGACATGATGCACAAGTTCACCAACCAAAGGGATATAGTCCAAACTGGGATTACGCATTCCATCACATCCTACTTGAACTTGAAGAGCCTTTATGATAAGAGGTTTGAGTTGAAGACTATGTTTGTTTCTAGGGATTGGGAGGACAGCAAGTGGTCCAAGGAAGCTGTGGGTGAGAAATTCTATAATCTAGTAGTAAACAAGATGTTCTGGCATAGAGTGCTATATGCTATCAGCAGCCTGGAGCCAATAGTGGATGTTCTGAGGTCAGACAGTGGGGTACTATCTATGGCATCCATTTATGGTGATCTTGCAAATGCTAAAAAGGAAATTGCATTACGGTTTTTAAACATGGAGAAGCATTATCTGCCTATATGGAATATCATAGACAGGAGATGCATGCAATGCCAGTCTGAAGACACCATTGCACTTAGCTGGTTATTATTTGAATCCCTTCTTCTACTTCCACAACAAAAATGAAATTGAGAATCTTGGAATATTCACAGATGCACTTGTTGAGTGTATGCTTAATATGTACAAAGATCAGTCTACTCAAGAAAAGATTCTGGATCAGTTGGAACTTTACAAGACTTGTTCAATAACTGAAATAGTAGACTATTCAAATTTTGGGAATATTAAAAACTTGGATCGTGATGCAGGTAATTTTCCTTCAGTAAAAAAACATCCGTACTTATTTCCATGAGCTCACGATGTTTTTTTTTTCCAAATTAACGCAATATCCAAGTTAATTTTGCTCTCATATGTTATAGATTTTTGGTGGATGCTTCACAGAGCATTAGGAGAGTTGAAAAAAATGGCAGAGAGGATTTTGCGTTTAACTTGTGGTTCCTTTGGCTGTGAGAGAAGTTGGATTGAAATGGTAATTAAGTTGTAGTTTTTCCGGAAGGTTGTAATATGGTTATAAATTGGTTGCTTTGGTTCGAAAAATGTCTGTTCGATCTTCAGCTTATCATGATTTCATTTTATGTAAACAAGAAATTTGACTATGCTCTCTTCTATGATTCCTCTTTAGATCCATAAGAAGAAGTCATCTCAGTTTACATGGAAGCAATTCTATGATTCAGCATTTGTAATGGTCAATGGGAGGTTGAAACGGAAAGGTGAAAGGGAACACAGTGATCCTATACTTCCATATCTCCCTGATGAAGATGAACCATATGTCTGGCTGGCTGAGGCTGACATGCATGAGAATGATAATGCTCTAATAGATGTGCATAAAGATGAAATTAGAGTTATGCTGACAGCGCCAAGCATCAATGGTGAAGAAGGGCCAAGTCATTACAGCGGAAAAGGATCGCCATGCGATGCTTCATGCCCAAAGCAAGCAAAGGAACCATGGCACGATGGTTTGTCATTAGAAGAAGAGCATGAGGGAAGATGCGAAGATGAACAAACACATTGTAGCAAAAGGAAGAAACCATGCAATGTTTCATGTTCAAAGCTATCAAAGAATCCATCACGTGTTGCGGGTTACAGATCAAGAAAAGAAGAACCAAGGCACTCTAGCAAAAAGAGCAAACCTTCATCAGTTCCATGTTCAAAGCAAGCAAAGGGGCCATTGCACTCCAAAGATCTTGATGATGTCATGTGGTGACGCACATTGAGCCGTCAACATCGGCACACAAAGGACAGGCTACAGTAGAGCCAAGACGCGTTATAGGAGGCTCAATCATCTCAGGTTTTTTCAATTAATTTAGCATGCATGTTATCCCTTTTGAATAGCTGCTTGTTTCATGGGTTGTTATCTAGGAGAATTGCTAGGTGGATTGTTATGCTCCTGGGAGGCGAAGCATTCAGCAAGCTGTGTTGATGATCGGTCATTGCCTCCCGTGTTGCAGCATCATGCTTACTAGAGAAGTGTGACAATTGCCATTTTGTGATCCATAACATATTATCACGTAGGTCTTAGTCTTACAATCCTGAAGGTCTGGGCATGCATGTGGGTTTCTTTTGTTAATTAGGATGTTACTAGTTAGTGACTGTCTGGCAGACTGCATGTGTAATCATTCCGTGATGGTCTCATGGCTAGTTGATGGATAGCTACTAGATCATCTTGTGGGTTTTAACTTTTAACGCTTGAGAACAAGAGGATCGAAGCGGCGGAGGTGGAGGATCTAAAACAGTTTCATTTTGTTTCAGAATTTCAACTCAAACGTCAAGAATGCAAGAATATCAAATTTTGCATTCCCAAATTGAATCTGTATATTCTAACTACTATTATTCTTGAAAAAAATTACATTGTTGAATCATTATAACTGAGCATCTTCAGAATTCAGTATCTATTATGGGTAAGACAAGAATGGTAAGCACATCTAAGCAAACTAATAAGCTTTACAGGGCACTACACAATATACTTGTAAAAATCTTTTCTAATATCTCAGTGATCCTATAATATCTCATCTCTTATTCTAATTTAGAGGCATACGTGCACACTATGTTACTTTTATACTACCTACAAGATGGCGCCAGGGCATGGCAGCGTGGTGATGCGCACAGATGCCCAATGGTGGCGGGATGACTTGTGCAAGATGGCGGTGGCAGTGATTGTGTGCCCGTTGTCTAGACAAACATGCTGGCGGTTCGTCAGAGCTTGGCGACGCGTGAAGAACAGGTTCTACTCCTCTGGTCTGCTAGCGCCAAGGGAAAGAAAAATGGAAAATTACGTTGGTAGTTTAACAGAAGGATCACTTTTTTAAGTTTTGGGAATTAAATTTAGATGTTCTCTTGGAGAGATCTGTTTTTCTACTTTCTATTTTTAGTTTAGGAAACCTAAAAACAAATTTTGGGGGAGATTATATGTTAGAGCATCACCGATAGATTACGTACGATCTCTCTCCAAAAATTTGTTTTTTGTTTTTCTAAACTAAAAATAGGAAGTAAATAAACTGATCTCCCAAAGAGGAAGTCTAAATTTTTATGTAAAAAAAATTAAAAGTGAGTTCTTATGCTAAACTACCCACATAATTCTCGGCTTTTCTCCGTGTGCACGGAGAATAGATCACGCTCCTTCTAGCGGGAATAGATCGCGCAAGGGTGGGAATAGATCGGCGAGGGCGGAATAGATCGGGCTGCTCCCTCACGCGAGAGATGCGCGATTGGGAGTCAGATGGGAGTGCTCACTCTCCCTCAAATTGAACAAAGCTAGAAATACGAGGAAGGGAACTCCAAAACCTGGGTAGGTCTATTGTGGATCTCTTGTGTTGTCGATTGACAACTGCGTGCGTCGAAAGATGTGGTTCACACAGTTGGAAGTAAAGTAATATGTATTAATTTATTGAAATTTTTGGGATCCCCATTACATGCCCCTGGGGGTTATTTATAGCATTAGTATAAGCTCATGCACCATAGATTTAATGTGTACAGGGGAATTTACATGAATAGCCTTATAATAGGGACACTTATGAGGGTAACTAGTGTCTATTTTGTCCGGGGCTTCTTAATGAGCTCTTTAATGGCCCCAAATGGCAAATGGCCCAATAGAACTTTGGCTTTTTAGGCTTGGTGCCGAAGGCCTCCAGGCCGACAACGAATCCCTCTTGCTTTGCCTAGCGGGTTTGCCCATTGATTTTGCCCAAGGTGAAAACCTTGGTCTTCGGTTAGCTATTCACCTTGGCCTATCTAGTTTCAGCAACCTCGGTCGAAGGTTCTCGTGTCATGTCTCCAACATGTTGGATCCAATTTTTCACCTAAAATCCCTTAAAATCAGTTTTAGGAAAAAATATGGGATGACCGTTGGTGATGCTCTTATGATGTTAATACTAATTAGTGACTGTTTGGCAGACTCTTTGTGTATAGACCCCTAGATCTGTAGCCTAACAATTGCTAAGTATTTAAACCTGCAATTAGTTGACCTTCATTCATTTTAAGGTTTAACTTTTAACGCTAGAGAGCTAGACGATCATTTTTCTGTTCTTTATGTGCAATGAATCTGATCTTAAAATTTGTTACTTGATGCGAATTATGGGTGTACCTGATTTATATCTTTGAGTGCGTTTGAAGGTGGTGGTGAGGTGAGCGGCTAGGATATATAGGGTATGTGCTAACTCACGCCAGTAAAGAAAAATCTTGATTGATTGACCACTATATTTAATTTTCCTCTATGATAAATTATATTTGTATGCAACTGTTTAATTATATTTTTATTAAAAAAATGATCTTCAACTCATCTTAATTTCCATTTTAGAACTTTAGACCGTTAACATGCATATGGATATTCCCGCAAAAAAAAACATGCATATGGATATATCTTTCTTTATTTGTTATGATAGTATTTTATTAATAACGATTAATCTGACTTCGATGATCCAACTTTATAGAAAATTATATATAGTCCTACTTACCTATAAGTTATTTAAATCAAACTTTCCTTTTGTTTTTAAATAAAGTCTCATTCGATCAAAATATTCATTTTTATTTCTGGTTTAACCTTACTAAGTAGGGATACATAATTAATTGTTTTGACTCTTACTTCTTTTTGGGTTTTTTTTTGGTTGCCAGCTAGAATTATCTTAGCCTGGAGTCATATTCCCTTTATAACTATATTAATTAAGAGAGCTAAGAAGGATGGTCAAATTAGTGGTGTTATTCCACATCTGGTGGATGATGGCTTATCTATTTTTGCAATATGCTGATGATACTCTTATTTTTTTAAGCATTACTTACAACATGCCAAGAATTTAAAACTATATTATCAGTGTTTGAGAAAGTATCTGGACTAAATTAAGATAAATTTTCACAAAAGTGAATTATTTTATTTTGGTCAGGCACATGAAATGTCAGGATCAATATTCCAACATTTTTGGGTGTAGACTAGGAAATTTTCATGTCAAATATCTAGGCATTCCTATGCATTTTAGAAAACTTAGCAATTAGGATTGGAAAACAATTGAGGAAAGAATTGAAAAGAAACTTAGTAGTTGGAAAGGTAAACATATATCTGTAGGGGTAGGTTGGTCTTGATTAATTATGTGCTTTTAAGCCTAGTTATGTTTATGATATCTTTTTTAGATCTCGGAAAGGGTTCTTCATAAAATTGATTATTATAGATCATGTTTCTTTTGACAAGGCGATAAGCATTAAAAAGAAGTACATACTTACAAGATGAGACATTATATGTCAGCCCAAAGAGCAGGGTGGTCTTGGAGTTCACAACTTAGAAATTCAAAACCAGTATATGTTGAGTAAATTGTTATTTAAGTTAATTAATGAGCAGGGGGTTTGGCAAGATTTATTGAAAAGGAAATATATGAATGATAAATCGATAAACCAAGTTGAGAGGAAACAAGTGGATTCCCATTTTTGGTCTTGTCTAATGAAAGTTAGAATTATGTTTCTAAATATGGGTTCCTAACAATGATGTACAAGTTAGATTATGGGAGGATAAATAGGTAGGGAATTGTTCTTTCAAGTATAGGATCCCGTCTTTATATGCTATAGTTCAAAGGAGAAACTCTTTGATTGCAAGTGTTATGAGTTCCGTTCTTCTAAATGTTTCTTTTAAGAGAGTTTTAGTAGTGCAAAATTTGGCTAGTTGGCATAATTTGTGTGCTTCTATTGTGCATATTCATTTGACAGAATAGAATGATATATTTAGATGGGATTTTCATCAAAATGGTCAATTCTCGGTTGGTTCTATGTACTTAGCTTTAATAGATAATGGTTATAGTGTCGGTGATACGGGCCCAAGGATATCAAGACTAGAGGGAGGAGGCCGCCCCCAGTGCCACGTGGCCCTCCCTCGAGGGGGGTCGAGCCTGGGGCCGAGCGGCGGCCGACCCCTCCCGTGACTAGGTGTTGGGCTCTCCCGGCCCCCTTCGCCGGTCGCCACATGCGGTGAGTTGGATGGCCGCTTCCGAGCGCCCACCTACTCGCATTTATGGTGACCTGAGCGGGTGCTTCACGCTGCATTTAATGCGGCGTGCTGCGCGTCCGTCTGGTCTGTGACTGGTTGATTGACAGACGAAACCTAGGGTGTCAGGTGCACTACCGTGCGTGCTAGGCGGCGTGCGCCTCGTCCCATCCCGTCGGTCATGATGATGAGAGGTCTTAGCCTCTCATTACAGCCGAAGTCGGCACGACTTCCCTGTTTAGAGCAAGGGTTCTGTTTCCCTGTACAATTGAGTCTCAAGCTGGTGGGTCCTTCACTATTACACGTTTGTAACGACCAAGTGCAACCACGACGAGTGGTATGAATGGGAGCCCTGAAGTCTTCACCCCTTAAATGGCGACTCTCTGGGGTGTCCCCCGTGTCAGGCGGGATGATTTGATGGGCCCCATGACCGATGCAATATTCCTGACGCTTTCCAAGTCAAAGAACAAGACATGCATTTATGCAAAGATTGTATCCTTCCCCCCCTAAGTTAGGTTTTTGGGCCCATGTGGTAACCCCTTGAGGTATAAAAGAAGGTCCAGACTAACTGAGGGAGGGGAGGAACCTTCTTGGCTAAGATAGAAACAAGGAGCTACTGGCCCTCATCATCAACACCTTCTACTCCAACAAGGAGATCTTCCTTGTCTTGGAAAGGGGAGCTTGAGAGGCGGGCGGTCTAGCTAGCATTTAGGGGCTCGCGCTCTTAAGACCTTGTAGTCTACATCCATTTAACCAAGCACAGGAGTAGGGTATTACGCTTCCTAGTGGACCGAACCTGTATAAACCACCGTTCTCTCATTTTCCCTGAGGGGCCCAACCCCCTCCTTTTCATACTCAATCACTCATCCTTGAATTCCGAACGCTGCCCCTGGCCGAACAAAAAGGGGGTGGGGGAGGGGGGGCTCACGGACCCCTAATAGAAGAGTTTACACTCCGACAGAGAGGAACAAGATTATCTGGAAATTTAAGATGCCTCTTAAGATTAAGATTTTTATATGGAACTAGTTAAAAGGGGTGGTTTTAATAAAGGCCAATTTAGCTAAGAGGAACCGGAATGGTAGTATGAAATATTGATTTTGCATGAAGATGAGACTATCCATCATTTTTTCCTTGAGTGTCACTATGCAAAGTTCATTTGGAGAGCATTGCATTTTTCTTCTGGTTTATATATTCCTCATAGTATTTCTTATATTTTTGGAAATTAGCTTGTGAGGGTTGATAAAAAAAACCAGAAAACTCATTCTTATAGGAGCATATGATTTGTCTGACTTTATGGTTGAGCAGAAATAATATGGTTTTTGATAAAACACCATCTAAATCTTATTTGCAGATGCTTTTCAGGGCAACATATTTTCTCCGGTCCTAGGCTCCACTTCAAAA